ACACACCCTTCCCCCATATACAGAAAAAAGAAAAAAAAACAATGCACATAAAGGACCCTCAAACAAATAAACAAAGACACCCCGTTGATTTCATGCAAAGGAGAAGGAGGAGTTGAAGGAGGAAGGAGGAGAGGTAGAGGAAGGAGGGGGGGATGAGGAGGAGGGGGTAGAGGAAGGAGGGGGGTAGAGGAAGGAGGGGGGAGGAGGGAGGAGGAGGAGGAGTAGGAGGAGGAAGGAGGGGGAGGAGAAGGAGGGGGTAGAGAAGGATGGTGGGGGGGAGGAGGGAGGGAGGGAGGGGGGAGGGGAGGAGTAAGGAGGAGGGGGAAGGAGGAAGGAGGAAGGAGGAGGGGGGGAGGAGGTAGGGAAGGATGGTGGGGGAAGGAGGAGAGGAGGGAGGGAGGGGAGGAGGAGGAAGAAGAAATAGAGGAAGAGGCAGAGAAAGATGATTATTATTAGGAGGAGGAGGAAGAAAAAGAGGCAGATAAAGGAGGAGGAGAAGAAAGAAAAAAAAAAAAAAAAAAAAAAAGAAAAAACGTACACTAAAAAAAATAACCACAATTATAATGATGGCAGTAACAACTATGGAGACAACAATACAAATACTACTACTATAGACGAAGACAATAAAGAAAGAAAAAGAAAGAAAAACAACAATAAGAACAACAACAAAACAATAAGAATACAAAATGAAGCAGCAGAAGGGGTTTCCATAAACCACTATTTACCGAGGCTCCGAACCTTTTACGGAAGGCTCGTAAAACAAAGCGAATCCTCCTTTTCACTTCCTATTAAAACACCATAAGTCGAAATTTATACGCGTGTTTGCAGGGGTATTGTCTTCGGGTGTTTCTTTTATTCATATTCGTGAATACATTTTTTCGGTGTATGGGTTTAAATATAGTTTTTTTCCTATTGTTATTTTCATTATTATGATCGTGTGTACTGTGATCGTTATTATTTTCACGTTGACTATTATCATTATTATTATCATTTTATTATTATTATCATTACTATCATGTTTATTATCATCGTTATTATCGTCGCCCCTCAGTGTCTCGAAGCCTCACTTCGTCACTGATTCGAACGAAGGTTCTGAATCGCTAAACATTTCCATTCACCTTATTCGCACTCCAAGTAAAACATAAACAAATAAATTCATTAAATAAAAATATCAAGAACGAAAAAAAGAACAGGGAAATGCACAAAACTGAATGATAGATAATTAAGGGAATAAAAAACATGAAAAAACAAGAGAAAGGGAATGAGAGTAACAAGGAAAAAAATGAAAGAGAAATGTAGGGACCGTTCGAGAACATTCAAAGAATTTCTGTGAGTCAACTCTGGCAGCGTGTGACATTCCTTTTAAGGAGACGCCGACTAGACTGGTCATAAGAAACGAAATTAATATCATAAAAATTGTCACATTCTTACTGCCAAAAAGAAGAGAGAGAAAGCGAGAAGAGAGAGAGAGAAAAAAAAAGGTGTTTGCGCGAAATTTTCTTTCTGGAAATATCTTTTCCTTTGTCTCTTTTCTGCTTTCAAACTTTTATAAGTTTTTTTTTTCTGCCAAGTATACATTTCCTCTTTCTTTCATCCTCCATCCTTTCTTCTTTCTTTCCTACCTTTATTCAACCTCCTCCTTCCCTCCTCTTCCCTTCTCTCTCATCTCTTCCCTCCCTCCCTCCCCTTTCCATACCCTCCTCCCTGCCCTCCCCGCCTCCCCCATAGCCCCAAACTGTTAGTCATGTCCAACACAACCACATCATACCTCATCAAATTAACATCTCATATATTCAAAAGACTACGGATAATTGCCAACGACAGAGAGAAAACAACAACTTTACAAAATGTACAACTTTGCGCGCAAGTTCAGGGTCCGCCTTACCCCCCCCGTTCTGCCCTTACGCCCCTCCTCCTCTACTCTTTTACTCCATTCTCTCCTTCCTCTTTGTTTTGTGTGCTGTAAGTGCAGCGGTAGCGTTCTCGTCTGGCAACCCAGCTGACCCGAGTTCGATCCCGCGCGCTGCCAGTGGATGGTCACCCCGGCCATTCTTCGCACTTGGGGGTAGTTTAAAAGCGAATAAACAGACATGATGTCACAGCAAAGAGTACCCACTGTAACAAATGGAATTAAACTAATAATTTTCTACTTATCTCCTTTACCACCCAGGTCCCTACCCTTACCCCTTACCTCTTGCCTCTTAACTCTTATATCTTACTCCTCTATCCTTCTCTACTCCCCTTTACACTCTCCTTCCACTACTAAACTGCCTCTTCCTACATCTTCATCTTCCTCCCCCTCCCTCCTTCCCTCCTCCCTCTTCTACCCTCCCCCTAAAAACCCCACGCACCCCTCTCTAAATCGCTACCTCTTCCTTACATCCCCTTCTCCCTCCCTCATTCCTACAATGTCTCCTAAATCCCCCCCTTTCTCCCTCTATCCGTCCCTCCTTTCTTTTTTCCTCCCTCGCTTCCTCTAATCCCTTCCTCCCCTCCCTCCTTACCTCCTTCCTCCCTCCCTCCTCCTACCTCCTCCCCTCCCTCCTCCTCCTCCTTCCTCCTCCCTACTCCTCCTTCCTCCCTCCCTACCTCCTCCTTCCTCCTCCTACCTCCTTGTATCCCTTCCCTCTCTCCCTACCTCTCCCTCCTCCATCCTCCCTCCCCCTCCCCCCACTCCCAGTTAAAAAGGCGTCCTCTCTCTCTTCCTTATTTGGCGTCGTTGCACAGGTGAGGGACGGTCAACACCTGCAATGTCGCGCTCGTCGGTCAGTGCTTTGCAACGGTCAGGCACTTTTGTTTCTGTGAAGGTCCTGTGTTACGTGCCTTTAATTTTACGTATCAGTTCTTATAAGATTTACATATGTATATGAATATATTCATCTGTCTACATATCTATGTCTATCTATCTATTTATCTATCTATCTATGTATCTATCTATCTAACCATCTACCTATCTACCTATTTATTTTTCTATCTATCGATCTAAATCTCTATGCTAACTCGTAGAGAGGGAGAGAGGGATAAAAATAAAACGAAAAAGACCAAAAACACACAAGATGAAGACCAAACCAGTACCGACCACAAAACACAAAAAGAAGAAAAAAATAAAAAAAAGAAAGAGAGAACAGAGGAAAAAGGGAAAACACAATAAAAAAACGAAATTTAACAGAAATATGACACAAAATACAAAACCCGGTGTAGATAACGGAAATGCCCCTTACCACCCCCCCCTCCCCCCCCCACCTCGCCCGCTCCCCGTGGAAATAATTAGAGTTCAAATCACAGGGAAGTCGAGATTTATAACCGTATGATAAAAGTGTCCGCGGGGGAAATCAGTGAAGATTTTAGAAATTACATATAATGTTTCTTGTACCTTTTCCTTTTTTCCATGTATTTTCTTTTCCACATTTATTTTGCTTCTGTTATAAAAAAGAGTTATTGTAAGTATTCTCTTTTCATATATTTAGCATTACATAAAAATGAAATTAAAATGATTCACGACTGACTGACGTAAGTTCATATATATAAATACATATTTTAAAAATCCTATTAAACGTTACAGAATTACAAAACTGGAAAAAAATCATGAGAAAACAAAACAAAACCACAAAGCTAAAGTCATTTTCTTTTTCATTTTTCTTTAAAAGCATCAACATTATTTTTCTTTTTTCTTTTAAAAATGCATGAACATTATCATTTTTTTCTAAGACATCAACATGAAATAGTTACTTAAGCTTTCCCAAGTGTTAAAAAAGAGACAGAACCACAATTCAAAAAATAACGAAAGAAGAAGAAAAAAAAGAAACAAAAAAAAAATTAAAAAAAGAAAAAGACAAAAGAAAAAGAAAAAAAGAAAAAAAAACATTCAGTCTTTCTCTAGTTTTATCTCGCCATGACAAAGTGCCTTGTACAGAGAGACGAGAGATAAAGGGAGTCGACGGGAGAAGGGAGATGAAAGAGGGAGAGAGATAGATGGAAAAAAAGGAGTAAGGGGATGGAAGACAGATGGAAAAGGAGGAAATCACGAAGGGGAGATGTGGTAGAGGAAGAACAGAAAGAAGAAAAAGAAAAGAAGAGAAAAGAGAGAGAGAAGAGAGAGAGAGAGGAGAGAGAGAGAGGAGAGAGAGAGAGAGAGAGAGAGAGAGAGAGAGAGAGAGAGAGAGAGAGAGAGAGAGAGAGAGAGAGAGAGAGAGAGAGAGAGAGAGAGAGAGAGAGAGAGAGAGAGAGAGAGAGAGAGAGCGAGAGAGAGAGAGAGAGAGAGAGAGAGACAGATAGATAGGTGGAAAAGAAAAAAAAAAGAAGACAGCAAGAGAGACATCAAAGGGGAAAAGAAAGAGAGGGATAAGGCAACCAAGCGAGTGACAGAAAATAAAACAAACAAACAAACAAACAAGAAACGAAGACCGACAACATAAGAGAAAGATTAAAGCAACAAAGCCCCATCGTGACGCCGCTTGACACTTTCTGCGATAACGACATGACAGGAGCCCCCCCACCCCCACCCCTCTCCACCCCCCACACTCTTCTATCCTTCTATCTCAACCCTTTCCCTTGACTTATTCCCATCCCCTTGCCCCACCCCTTTTCTCCATCTCATTTCTCCTCTCCCTATCCTTTCTACATTTTCACTAGCCAGTAATAAAAATGAGAGAAAATAAGGACTAATAAAGAAAAAATAATCAGAAGACGGATAATTAAAAAAAATGAGAATGAATAAATTAAATCTAACTCATATCGCTTCCTCGATATTAGATAACGTTAATTACCATATATATCAAACCCTGTGAGAGATCTGTAGATGAAATGCAAAAGGATTTCGGAACGCTTGTCTCGCCTGCTAACAAATCCTTTCCGTGTATAGGATTTTTTTTTTTTTTTTTTTTTTTCTTTTTCTATTAAGCTAATCCAAAATAATTCTTAAAAAAGTCAAGGAAAACTAATTCCTTTTCTTCTCTTTGCCTCTGTTCCTTCTGAAAGACATCCTAAAGGGAAGAACGCATTCAAAGAAGGAAATGGAACCGCTGCTTACCTCTGCCCCTGCCGAGGGCGTCGACGCGGAAGTTGGTGTGTCCGGTCTCGCCGTCGGTGAGCTGGCCGAGGCCGCCCGAGAGCCAGCCGTCCTTGCGCGCGCCGTCGTAGGTCAGGTCGCGCAGCGCGCCGTCGCCGCCGCGCGGGTCGCCGTCGGGCATCGAGTACGACAGCAGCCCGTCTGGAGGGGGAGGAGGAAGTGTAAAAAGAGAGGGGTGGATGTTGGAGCTCTCTTCCTTAACAGGCAATCGACAAGCTCTTGCCTTTAGCTACGCACATATAATCACAATATATCATATTCAAAACTAATCTTAGACAACATATCCCCTTAAGCTTTAAAAAAGTAATCTCATTTCTTAAAAAATTAAGACAAATCCAAGCAATACAACAAATCCTAACCCCACTGTCGGATTCAAATTCAAATTCCCCTCCTCCTACAAAACCGTTACGACCGTTATTCTCCGAGACGAACCTGTGTACCGGCATCCGTAGACCTCGACCCTCATGCAGACCGTGAGGGAGTAGTGGCTGAAGGGGACGAACCTCACCCTCGAGGCTATGATGGGAGGGCTCAGCTGAGAACTCTGGGCGAGGTAGGTGTTTGAATTCCCTTCCAGGAGCTGGAGAGAGAGAGAGAGAATGGGGTTGAGAATGAGTGAAAACGGAAGGGAGAAATAACGGATTTGAAGTGAGGATGAATTGGAGAGAATAGGAGGAGAGGAGGAGGAGAAACTAGGAGGAGGAAAAGAAGAAGGAAGAGAGTTGATGAGAAAGGGTTTGAATAAGGATGGAGTGATGAACAGTGGGGAAAGGTATAACGAAAAGAGGATGAGAGAACGTAGAAGAATGAAAGAGAGAGCGAAAGATGAGAGGAAGCAGAACTGACGAAAAGAGGCACAGATCGAACAAAAATGAGAGGCTGAGAACAGAATAACGGCGAAGAGAACACGAGAATGAGATAATGGTGAACAGATAAACAATAACAAAACAACCAACAAAAAAAAAAAATGAATAAAATTCTTGCAGATTCCGATGACAACAGTTAGCTGGTAAGCAGAAACCTACAACAAAAAGTATTATCATTTATATATATATTCAATTATCTCCATCATGGACTAAGAGAGAAGACCTTTTTTTCTCTGGGTATTAGAAGAAGAACGGTCCCGAAGACGCTTAGGCATTTGAGTTAGTTTCATCTTAATGAGACGAAACCCTAATAAGGAAAAGGGAGAGGGGGAGGGGGGAGGAGGGGGAGGGAGTTGTAATCAGAGCTGGAGTAACTGTAAACTCCGAGGAATCAATACTTTGATAAGCTCAATTATAAGGATCACTTGAAGGGGGGCGGAGATATATATATTCTTTTTTTTATTATATCGACTTTCACCCTCCCCCTCTCTCTCTTTCGCTTCCTTGTTCTCTTTCTCTCACTGCTCTATGCTTGTATTTTTCCTCTTTCTTGGATTTTGTTTATGTATATCTAATTTCTCTACTTTCTCTCCCTCCCTCTCTCTCTCTGTATATATGTCTCGGCATTTCTCTCTGTCTACCGAATTAAAGGAACCCAAATTCGTTATCCATGGCTGTCAAACGCGATTATCATTATAATTATTCAAAAGAGGAAGAAAAAAAGTTGACAAATAGCAAATAATCCACACTCCTTCTACAACCCCCCCCCCCTCTATTCATCCCCTTCTGTTTTTGAGACCGTCCCCACTGAAGAAAAAAATATATATAAAAAAGTGTCAAATATGATGATGATGATGATGATGATGATGATGATGATGGTGGTGATTGATGATGATGATGATGATGATGATGATGATGATGATGATGATGATGAGAATGATGATGATGATGATGATGATGATGATAATAATTAATAATAATAATAGTAATAATAACACAGGAAAATGAAGGAAAATAAAGAGAGGAAGAGAAAGAAGAACGAAGCGAAGAAAAACGAGAATAAGAATAAGAAATAAAGAATTAGAACGAGGAGGAGGATAATGATTATAAAGGTAATGACGGTGATCATGATGACGATACCAATAACAATAACAATAGCTCTAATACGAAAGACAGCACGCCCTGAGTTTCCCCGAGGCAGAACACGAGAGAGAACAGAGAACAAGGTCTGGCGTGGCCTCTCTGGGTCCGCGCGTTCACTCGAGAACAAAAAAGGCCACAGAACACTCACTCGATGTCACCCTGCAGTTAGCGGCCCGGGTACATTAAGGTCCATGCTGTCTGTTTGCTTGTTATTTCTGTTTTGTTTGTCTCTGTGTGCTTGTTATTTCTATTTTGTTTGTCTCTTTGTTTGTTTGGTATTTCTGTGTATTTGATTGTTGGTGTTTGTCTAGGAATCTGTCTACAATATGTTTGTATAACTATGTGTGAACACTACATACACACATATGTAAATGCATATATATATACATACATACAGAGAGAGAAAGAGAGAGAGAGAGAGAGAGAGAGAGAGAGAGAGAGAGAGAGAGAGAGAGAGAGAGAGAGAGAGAGAGAGAGAGAGAGAGAGAGAGAGAGAGAGAGGTAGAGGAGGGAGAGAGGGAGAGAAAGTGAAAGACCAAGAGAGAGAGACAGAAACGGAATCAGATAGAGGCAAAGAAAGACAAACCATTCAGAAAGAAGCAGAAGCACAAAAACGTCAACACAAAAACGACCCCAAACAGCTCACCTCGTTGCCGCGCCCGTCCGCGTAGGTGACCCAGTGGGCGAGTCCGGGCCGCCAGAACTGCAGCTTGTACTGGCGCGCGAACTCGCGCCCCTGGCCGTTGCCGAAGCGCCCCTGCACCTCCACCTTGGCCACCACGTGCAGGCCGCCCAGGTTCACCTCCAGGAACTCCTTGCCCTCGTTGTGGATCATGTCTCGGGGGCACCACGCGCCGCCGCCAGCCTCCACGCGCGCTCTGGGGGAGAGGGAGAGAGAGGGGGTGAGTAGGAGAGCGAGATATCGATGGAGGGGAGGGAGGGAGGAGAGAGGAGAGAGGAGAGGGAGGGAGAAAGGGAGGGAGGGAGAGAGGTAGGAAGGGAGGGAGGAAGAAAAGAGAGAGAGAAAGAGAAAGAGGAAAGAGAAGAGAGAGAGAGAGAGAGAGAGAGAGAGAGAGAGAGAGAGAGAGAGAGAGAGAGAGAGAGAGAGAGAGAGAGAGAGAGAGAGAGAGAGAGAGAGAGAGAGAGAGAGAGAGAGAGGAGAGGGAGAGAGAGAAGAGAGAGAGAGAGAGAGAGAGAAGAGAGAGAGAGAGAGAGAGAGAGAGAGAGAGAGAGAGAGAGAGAGAGAGAGAGAGAGAGAGGAGATGAGAGAGAGAGAGAGAGGAGAGAGAGAGAGAGAGAGAGAGAGAGGAGAGAGAGAGAGAGAGAGAGAGAGAGAGAGAGAGAGAGAGAGAGAGAGAGAGAGAGAGAGAGAGAGGAGGAGAGGAGAGTTGAGAAGGATGGGAGATCGATGGATAGATTGACAGAATAATAGACAATAAGGATAGGGAGAAAGAGGGAAGAAGGAAAACTTATGGAAACAGAGAGAGAGGAAGAAAGTGAATGGGAGGTGGAAAAGAAGCGAAAGAAAGGAAACGAAGGGAGATGGAGAGAGACGGAAGAGATGAGAGGAGCGAGAGAAGGAGAGGGGTAAGGAGGGAAGAAGGGGTAAAAGGAACGAAGGAAGAAAAGACTAAGTGAAAGGAAAGAAAAGCGAGAAAGAATAAAAGGAATAAGGATCGAAAAACGAAAGAGAGGAAAAGAAAGAAAGAAAAAAAAAGGAAAACCAAATAACCTTCTGACTTCTAAAAAAAAAACGGCAATCAAGACAACGTAAATAAACAGGGGAAATGAGAAGGAAAGAGAGAGATAATGACAATTAATGTACATATTCCACTACGCTGGGGAGGTGGAAGAGACGTTGAGAATTAATGAAGAGAGATGGGGGGGATAAGAGAAGGGTGGAGGCGGGAGGAGGAACCCAGAAAAAGAAAGGGGAAACAGAGGGAAGGGGAGAATAGAGAGAAGGAGAGGGAGAGGGTGAATGGGGAGAGAGGGAGACCGGGGAAGGAGATGGAGAGGGAGAACAGGGAATGAGAGGGAGAGGGAGGTCGGGGACGGAGAGAGAGGGAGAGGGAAACGGGGAAGGGGGGAGGAAGGAGAGAGGGAGAGGAAGAATGAGATAGGGAGAGGGAGAGGGAAATGGAGAACGGGGAAGGAGGGAGGAGGAGAGGGGAAGGAGAGGAGGAAAGAGGGAGAGGAAGAATGAGAGAGGGAGAGGGAAAACGGGGAAGGAGGGAGGGAGGAGACTGGGGAGAGAGGAGGGAGAAGCAGAGGAAGAAAGCGGAGGGAAGGAGAGGGAGAACGGGCAAAGAGGAAGGGAAGAGGAGAAAGAAAGGGAGGGAGATGAGGAGTGAAAATAAGGAAATGAGGAGAGGAGGAGGAAGAATAGATGCAAGACATAAAGACCTTCGATAAAGCAGACACACCCACACCCACACACACACACACACACACACACATCACTCCTAATCATAATCATCACCATCACTTTCTCATCTTCATCAATTCACCCATAACATACTCATAACATCTTAAAAACATCTCATAACATCTTATAATCTATTAACATTTAATTTCTACGACCCCTCCAAGACCACGATGAGAAATCCCTTGCCACTCATAGATGGCGCTGACCCCCAAACCCACGACGAGGAGAATTCCCTTACCTCCCATAGATGGCGTTGACGGCGGCGTCGAAGTAGGAGGACGCCGAGATGTGTTCGTCGGGGATGGCGCCAGATTCCATTCCGAGGGCGGCGTCGCATTGGTCTGTGGGCGGGAGGAGAAGCATTATTTGTTTGTTCAATTGTTTTTTCCTAGTAATTGCCCATATATAACATTATTGCCCTGTTTGTCTGTCTGTTTGGGTCTCATATAAAACCCTTTCTCTCCTTCTCTTTCTGCTCTTCCTTGGTATATCTCTCCTTCTTCCTATCATCCCTCCCTCACTTAGCTAACTTCCCACCTTCCTCTCCCTCTCGTTCCCCTTCCCTCCGTCCATCTTCCCTCCCTTTCTTTCCCTTTTACCCTTCCCCCACTACATTCCACTCTTCCCTCCCTCTCACTTCCCACCTCCACTTCCCTCCTTCCCCCACCTTCCTCTTCTCCCCTCCCTCCCTCCCTCCCTCCCCCTCCGCCCTCCTCTGAAAGTCCGCAGACCGCATTTCCCTCCCCCTCCCCTTCCCCTCCCCCCTCCCCTAATACGAGTGGGAGGCAAGGGTTGACTGGGGTCTGTTGTCGCTCCAGTTATAAAAGCCTTCTTCTCTCCTCTCCTCCTCTTCGCCCCCGAGGCGGCAGATCCTGTTACGCGGTTATTTTTGAGGCTTTTATCTGCGTCTGTGTTTTGTAGGTATGTGTGTATGTGGGTGGGTGGGTGGGTGGGGGAGAGGGAGGGGAGGATGGAGGGTGGATGGGGTAGAGGGAGGGATAGGGGTAGGGGAGGGATAGGTGTAGGGGAGGGATAGGGTAGGATATAGGGGAGAGGAGAGGATGGGTGGGTGGGGGAAGGGGGGGGTGAAAAGGAGGAAGTGCAGGTAGCCTCTTTTTTTTTTAAAGAAAGAGGCGGCCTTTCTTTAATGGGGAGAGGAACCCATTTTGTAATCTATAGCTTTATTTTTTGTACGAGTCTGCTCTCATTACTAGCTCTGTGTATTATTTTTTTTACTTATACTTACATCTATGGGGTTCTTTTCTTTCTCTCTTTTCTGTCTCTCTCTACACCCTTTTCCCAAACCTTCCCTCCCCATATTCTCACTCTCACTTCTTCCCTCCTTCCCTTCCTCCCTCCTCTCTTTAATTACCCCAACTTCTCCCCTCTCATTCCCTCCCCTCTCCTCTCCCACCTCCCGTTTCCACCTTCTCCCCTACCCTCTCTCCTTGTCTCTCCCCTCCCTAACTTTCTGCCCTCCTTCCCTCTCCCTCCCCCCCTCAACTATTAACCTTCGCTTATCAGGCTAAATCTCAACTAGCTTTAAACAGCACTCCACTCTCTGTAAGACAAGACAAGACATACACACACAAACACACACACACATACACCGCCCCCCCACACATACACCCCCCACCTCCACACACATACACCCCTCACACACACACACACACACACACACACACACACACACACACACACACACACACACACACACACACACACACACACACACACACACACACACACACACACACACACACACACACACACACACACACACACACACACACACACACACACACACACACACACACACACACACACACACACACACACACACACACACACACACACACACACACACCACACCACCCGCCCCCCCACACACACACACCGCCTCAAGGTATTCGCTTGCAGGTGCGCTTAGCCCTAGTCTCGCCCTGTGTTTGCATAGCGGGCGGTCGAACCCGTAAACAACCACGGGCAAACAAGCAAACAAGCCACTTCGTTTGCGGGAAGGATGCGGGTAGTTGGAGTCAGCGAGAAAGTGGGGTGGTTTGTGAAGCAAAGGAGAGTGAGGGGTTGTTTGCCGAGTGGATTTTGTTTTGGCGGGGATGGGGGAGGGAGGTTTAGGAGAGAAAGGAAGAAAGGAATGATAGGAGAGAGAGGGAGAGGGAGGGAGGGAGAGGAAAAGGGAGGAAGGAGAGGGAGAGGAGAGGGAGAGGAGAGAGAGAGAGAGAGAGAGAGAGAGAGGAGAGAGAGAGAAGAGAGAGAGAGAGAGAGAGAGAGAGAGAGAGAGAGAGAGAGAGAGAGAGAGAGAGAGAGAGAGGGAGGGAGAGAGAGAGAGGAGAGAGAGAGAGGGAGAGGAGAGAGGAGAGGAGAGGGAGAGAGAGGAGAGAGAGAGAGAGAGAGAGAGAGAGAGAGAGAGAGAGAGAGAGAGAGAGAGAGAGAGAGAGAGAGAGGAGAGAGAGAGAGAGAGAAGAGAGAGAGAGAGAGAGAGAGAGAGAGAGAGAGAGAGAGAGAGAGAGAGAGAGAGAGAGAGAGAGAGAGAGAGAGAGAGAGAGAGAGAGAGAGAGAGAGACAAAACAAACATACAGACAGGCAGTCCATCATACATACAGCCAGACAACCAGACAGAAAAAAAAAAAATATAACTAGTGCACCGAGTGGGATTGGAATGTAAATAATATACGTTTTGTGATTACCTTAATATTGATTATATGCATGGTCTGGCACTGTGTTGTTTTATATGGATGGATGAATAAAAAATTGAGTGCGTGGGTTTTGAGCAAAATGATGCATATATGTAATTATCATTGCACATCAACTGATTGTATCTCCGTGCAACATGGAAATATTTGTTTATTCGCGTGTGTACCGATATGGCAGTATCTAAAACTACATCTGTGTTTTGAATAAAGTATCATTATTTATTTTTTTATCTCTCTCTCGCTCTCTCTCTCTATCTCTCTATCTCTCTCTCTCTCTCTCTCTCTCTCTCTCTCTCTCTCTCTCTCTCTCTCTCTCTCTCTCTCTCTCTCTCTCTCTCTCTCTCTCTCTCTCTCTCTCTCTCTCTCTCTCTCTCTCTCTCTCTCTCTCTCTCTCTCTCTCTCCAGTTTTTCTACTTTGCCTTCCCCCTTCTCTCTTCCCTCCTTACCTTCCCCTCCCCTTGCTCTTCCCTCCCCGTTGCTCCCTTGCCTTCCCCTCCCCTTCTCTTCCTACCTTCCCCTACCCTCTCTCTTCTCTCCTTACCTTCTCCCTCCCCTCCCCTCCCTACCTCCCCCTACTCTCTCTCTTCTCTCCTTCCCTTCCTACCTCCCCCTACCCTCAATCTTCTATCCTTACCTTCTCCCTCCCTCCCCTTCCCTCCCTACCTTCCCTTACCCTCAATCTTCTCTCCTTACCCCCCCCCCCACCTTCCGTACCCCTTCCTTAACCTCCCCTTAATTTCGCCCCAATTACCTCCATAAAATAAGACCCGAGAATACAGCAACATGCCAACACAACATAGCAACATATTACCTGTTTCGAGCGATACGGCGGACCGGGCTGTCAGCACCGTTGCCACCATCATCCAGAGGTAGAACAACATATGAGGCCTCATGTTGAATTATGAGGTTTGCCTATGTAGGGGGGTGGGGGTGGGCAGGGGGTCACATATGAGGTAAGGGGGTGGGTGGATTATGCGTATGTGGGATTATGAGTGGGGGTGGAAGGAGGGGGGAGGATGATCACATGGGGTTAGGCTTTGATTTTCTTCTATTTTTCTCTTATTTATTTGTTTTCTTTGTATTTCTTCCTCTTTTCCTGTCTCTCTTTCTCTCTTTCGGTGTTTTCAGTTCGTCTTACTTTTTATTTTCTTGCTCTGTCATTCTTTTTCTAAACTATTTTCCTTTCTTTTTTATTATTCTCCTTCACTTTCTTATTATTTTCTTGGTATTTTTTTTTCTTCAGAGATATAGGCCAATATCAGAAGGTAGGCCTATAAGCCATCTAGGCTCGTTGTCAAATTCATCATTATTATATAATCTTATTTCTGTGGCAATTTGATTTTTTTCACTTATTTCTGTTCATGGAAACTGTTATTTGAACAAACTGATTCTTTTGTGCAGTGTTTCCTCCAGAATTTTCTATTCTTAAAAGAACTTGAGAACAAGAACTGCTTTCCTTTCTTTTCTCTCTCTTTTTAAATGCCTTGTTTATTCTATACTTCTTTAAAACTGCCTCGTTTATTTCCCTTTACAAATCTGCCTTGTTTATATTTCTTTTTTCACTCTTTTGTCCAATTTTCGCCTTTGACTTGATTTTTTTTTTTTTTTTGGAAAGAGTCGAGGAAAAAATCACTTCTTGAAGACGTTGTGCTTTGTTCTCTTCCGTTTCCTCTTCCTCCGGCGAAAAATCTCAAGAGCATTCAGGGACCTGCAAAGAAAGAGAAATAATAATTAGCAAAATGATTTTGGAAATGGGTAATGGTGATGATGGTGGTGGTGATGATGGTGATGAAGATGGTGAGGGTAATGGTGATGGTGAAAATGATATTTATAATAACAATAAAAAAACAAGACCAATAATACATTTTTTACTTGGTGGCAGTATTTTGGTTAACGCACAGTTAGCAAGCATAACAAAAACATAACACTATTCCATTAAAAGTTTATATACATGTTTTAATGCGAACGTAAACACCAGCAGACAATAAAAGCATATCATACACAAAATAACAGCAGCAAAAAAATCATTTCACAAAATTACCCAAACCCATAATAAATATATAACTCTCCACTACCCTCCCTCCTAAAATTCTAATAACAAATTCCCTAAAAATTAATAAAAATATTCGTTTCCGAAAAAGTGAAAACTAATTAAAAAATGCATACCTAACCTAATATCTCCACAAAATATATATTAACCCGCAAAAAAAAAAAATAATAATAATAATAAAAAAATAAAAAATAAATAAATAAATAAAAATAAAAAAAATAAATAAAAAAACTACACAACTCGACTCCGAATAAAAGACAATCTTACGCCCCCTTAATCCCATACAAGAGATTCAAAAGCCTACATAAAGGGATTCAACACTGTGCTCGGCTATCGGCTGCGTAATCGAATCGATAGTAGGGAATCACACACGTCTATAATTATGCCTGACCCTTATGTAATTCTATTAAAGTTGATAGCTAGAGAGGAAGAGAGGCGAGGGGTGAAAGAGAGGAAGGGAAGGGGGAGAAGGGAAGGAGGGAGAGGAAAGGGGAGAGGGAGAAGGGGAGGGGGAGAAAGAGAGGGAGAAGGGGATGGGTAAGAGAGGGAGGAAAGGGGAAAGAGAGGGAAGGAGGGAGGGAGGAGGGGGAGGGAGGAGAGGGAGAGGAGAGGGAGAGGGAAGGGAGAGGAGAGGGAGAGGGAGAGGGAGAGGAAAGGAATGGAAATGAGAGAGAGAAAGGAGAAAGGAAAGGGGAGGGGGAAAGAAGAGACCTCGAAAGGAGAAGGTGGAAGGAGAGCGTAAAGGGAAGAGAGAGAGCGAGAAATAAGGAAATAAAGAAAGGAGAGAAAGTTGTGAAGAGAAGAGGGGAAAAGGGAAGGAGCAAAAAGTGTCAGGAAGGAAAAGGAGGATGAAAGAGGGAGAAGAGAGAATTACAGGAACAATAGACACAAAAAAAAAGAAAAAAAGAAAGATGAGGATATTATAGAGCAGACGAGCCTGAAAGACAAACCGGAATTGCACTCAAAATTTTTTTTTTCTTTCTAAATTCATTTCTCCCCCCTTCGCCCCCCCCCCCCTCGCCGTCTCCAATACCTTACGCTATACATTTTTCTTCTTCCTCCTCGTCTTCCTTTTCTTCTTTTCCTCCTCCTCCTCTCTCTTCTCCCCTTCGCACTCTCTTTCCTGCTATCCTCCCCCCTCTTCTTCGCCTCACTCTCCCCCTCTCCCCTCCTCTCTTCCTCTTCCCTCTCTCTCCCTCCCTCTCTCCTTCCCTTCACTCTTCCCTCTCCTTCCCCTCACTCTCCTCTCTCCTTCTTCTCATTCTCCCTTCTTTCTATTATCCCCTCCATCCTCTCCTTCCCCTCTCCTTCCTCTCCTTCTCCTTACTCCCTTCCTTCCCCTCACTCTCCTCTCTCCTTCCCCTCACTCTCCCCTCTCCTTCCCCTCACTCTCCCCTCTCTCCCTCTCCTTCCCCTCACTCTCCCCCTATTCTAAACCGCCGAGGCTCAAGAGTGGAATCAATACAACCCGATCACAGTATTGATTTCGCTCTAAGTTAATTGAACCTTTTTTTTTTTCCTTGAACTCTAGACTGACTTAAAGCGGTAAATGTAAATTGCATATGTAAATTGTAGAGTCTGTTTTTTGTTCACTCTTTCTGTTTTTGCTTGTTTGTTTGTTTGTTTGTTTGTCTTGTGATTCTGTAAGGGTAAAGTGCATAGCAGTGATGGGGATTAGATTTATAAGTAGAAAATTTATGAAATAAAGATTTAAACTGAGTATGAGGAAAATAATATGCACAGATATATATGCGTGTTTGCGTGCGTGCGTGTGTTGGAAATGAAACAGCGGTGGTAACATAGGCCCAACCAGTAAATAAAAAAGCAATAAGTAATCTAATATAAACACATTACGTGTAATAAGTCATACAAAAACACCTCCTCCCCCCAAAAAAAAATAAATAAATAAAAAAAAAACAAATAAATAAACCTCTACCTTTCACCCTCCCTCTCCACAAAATCCAACACCCCCACCTTCCCAAACATCCAAACACTCCCCCCCCCTTTCCCAAACATCCAACATCCCCCCCCCAACCAAAAAAAAAAAAAAAAAAAAAAAAAAACACCCACACACACGAACGGACCCATTACCGAAAATCACCGCCCGGGCCAGCCAGCCAGCCCGTCAGCCCACCGTGATGTATTTCATAGATTGGCGCCCACCGTGATAGCGCCCATTTCCACCGGGGGAGGGGGAGGGGGGCAGAGGGGGGATACAATAACCTTAACTTCAACAAAATGCATTTCAATTCGGGTTCTCGTGGAATTGCGTTCGGTGTTGTGTTGTGTTCGCCGGTTGTTTAGGGGGTGGGGTGGGGGGGATGGGGGTATGGGAGGTGGGGGTAAAGGAGGTAGGTGGGATGGGAGGGAGGGAGTAATGGGGTAAAGGGCAGAAGGGAGAGAGGATGGAGGAAGGGGTAAAGAGGGAGGAAGGAGGAGGGAGGAGGGGGTAAAGGGAGGAGGAGGGAGGAGAGGGTAAAGAGAGGGAGGACATGGAAAACGGAGGGAGGAGTGGGAGAAGGGAGGAGGGAGTAAAGGGAGGGGCAGGGATGGAAAGACCATACATACACACACACACACACATCTGGTTCTTTGTACTACACCGTGTTACTAGTATTATCATTATAATGTCTCTTTTTGTTGTTGTTTGCTTTTTTTGTGCGCGCGAGGGGGAGTTCACATAAATGGCCAATATACCCGAGCGTAATATACGGCGCGTGTGAGAAGACCCCCCCCCCCAAAAAAAAAGTAAAGTATCGCTATTTTGTTTTGCTTCTGTTCTTACGAGAGGAGAGAATGGAAGGAGAGAGAGAAGAGAAGGAGAAACAAGGAGGGAGACAAAAGAAAAAAAGTGAGGAAAGGGAGGGTGAGAAACAGAGAAGGAAGAAAAAAAGAGAGAAATTACAGACACACAACAAATACACACAAACCAACATTTTGAAAATAAATAAATAAAAAATAAATAAATAAGACGAAGAAAGAAATGGACACATAAGATCAAAAAAAAAAAAAAACGAAAAGAAAAGAAGAAAGAAAAGGGATACAAAAGATATTTTAGAAATCCCAAGAAAACCACTCCCCACGCACAAATCCCCCCCCCTCCTCCTCCTCCTCCTCCTCTCCTCCTCCTCCTCCCTCCCCTCCCCTCCCCCCTCCATCTACCCTCCCCCTCCCCCTCCCCCTTCACCAACAAGTGCTTGATGACTCTCTGTTCCGGCCGCGATCAGAACC